ACGCAATCATCATCCTTTTACCATCCGGAGTTTCTGCATTAACACTTTCCAAAACAAATTGAGGGATTTGAGTAGTTTTACCGCTACCAGTCTCACCAACTAAAATTATACATTGGTTGCCCTTAAGAGCCTTCAAGAACTCATCTTTCTGTTGCCAAACTGGCAAAGTCTTCCTCTTCTCAAGGATCTCATAGTAGCTCTGGGAATAAGGCATTCCAGTCCACGGATTAATCACACTGCTTACCACCGCATTGTCCTTCGTTGTGGCTCCTCCACTGCCGCCTGATTTGCTCATCTTTGCTGATGATGAGACCACCATGTTAAACAAGCACACCTTCCTCTTCCTCTCCATATTCATCAATAATGCGTTTTGTCTAGAGGAGTCAGTTTTATACAATATGGAGGTGGAGAATCCATGTTCTTGTGGGAATAGGATTCCTGGAGAGACTTGAAGAACCGGAGTAAAAAGGAAACCGCAGTATGTATATATAACTAAAATACTTCTGCTCACGTGCTTCTGTTTGCAACAAGTGCAAGCAAGCTAGATTGAATACCTACACTATTAATTGAGTTCTTCACGTGGTATACGAAATACGAATTCAATGATATGACTAAAAAGTTTATCAACTTCAAAAGGTTTTGAAATATGTTTGGGAGAAGGATTTAAAATCTTTCCGTTTGGTAAAAGGATTGAAAATCTGTTTGAACCAAGGATTAGAAGTCTTTGAATTACTGATTGCCTTGGTGCCAATAAGCAGCGAAGTGTGTTAATAAACATAATAAATTGGAATGACAGAATAAAAACCATTTATCTAAACATAATAATGTAATCACCTCAATCTTGAGATGATGTTATTTGAATTTTTTTTCTTGGAACAATTAAGCTTTTATTCATAAGTCATCGAAAGAAGAATCGTTTGAGATAAGTCGGAACAAAAAGAACAGATTATAATAAGGTACAAGAACATAAGCATAATAAGGCTTATTAAATAGAGATACTGCCTATTGGTGCCTCATCAATTTGAGTTTACAGCTTTTGTTCCTGTATTATATGTAATATGTTACTGCCATTTCAAGTTGCAACTGTTGTTGCCTCTGCCTTCCTCTCCAACTCTTCCAGTGCTTCCCACAATTTTGGGTCCTCAAAATCTTTAATAACGAAAGTGGCTCCGGCATCAGTCAGCCATGTCTCGGGATTCCTTGTGCCTAAACCAACTACTGGCATTCCAGCTGCTACTCCAGCTTTCACTCCAGAAACAGAATCCTTAACGACCCAAAAAAAAAAAAATGGTGCAACTTATATCAAAATTTACTCAGGAACGTTATCGTTATTCGTTAATTCAAAGCACACAGTCCTTAAAGACAAACCTCAAAGATGAAAGCATGCTTGTGAGACACTTGAAGTGTTTCGAGAGCCTTCAAGTAAGGGTCAGGAAATGGTTTTGCCCGTGTGCATTCGCCTCCGATAACAAGAATCTCAAAGAAATCCGAGAGCCCCAAAGATGATATCATTAGCTCGCCACTAGCTCTTGGAGAATTTGTTACAGCAGCCCTTCTGAAGCCTTGATTTTCGATCCACTTGCACAACTTATCCAGACCCTTGACAGGCTCTAATTGTTCAGCAGCCAATCTGCATATGTCCTTTATTAAGTCAGGTTCAGGAATAGAAGCAAAACTTGAACACTGTATGGAAATGTGTGCCAACAAACTATCAAACTAGACTATTGACAGGTAACACAACATGCTTGATATATAAATAAATATAGCAAACCATTATGTAGCAGCAAATACCATAATTTCTTTAAATTACCTCCGGAACATGGCTTCCTTGTCGTCCAAAAATTTCCTTGCTGTTTGGAGATCCCAGTCATGAAAGACGGTACTGCAAAGATACTCATTGTTCTTTCCACTAAAATGTTCACTGTAGAATTCCTCAGTGATAGGAATCCCTCCATTAAAGCCAACCTCTTGAAGCATTTCACGGAAAGCATAGTAATGGAGGGGATCTGAATCACACAATGTTCCATCAATGTCGAATAGAATTGATTCCAAAGGAGCGATAAGGGAAAGCGAACATTTCCTGCCATCACAAAACAGGAGGAGGATTAAGGCCAGCAGCAGAACAACAAAAAATTTGAACATAAAGAAAAAGAAAACAAGATGATTGTCTGGACAAAAAATGCTTGGACTAATATAGTCCAGAGTATGATTATGCTGTAATGTCATAGGCAACATACTGAATTTTCTAACTTATATTATCCAAAATCTACAATCAAAGGTCAAGATACAGATTCAACAAATGGAAAAGAAGAACACTGAATTTCCCATCTTTAAAATCAGATTAAGCTTCATGCACTGAGGATTTATCAATGGTCAATCCACAGGCGAACTTTAAACATGCACCAACGATGAGCTTGCGAAACGAGCAGCTTCATGTGCGAAAGAGAGAAGAAAAGAAAAGAAAAGAGAAAAAAGGAAAGCAAAGCAAATCAAAGAAAAGAAAAGCAAAGAAATACCTATCGAGTGGGAGAGGAGTAGATGAAATATTGGACATCGTTGGAGGTGGTGGTGGTGAGAGAGGTAAAGTTAAGCTAAGTCGAGTGAGGTTGCAACTATGAATATATAGTTTTTTTTTTCCTTCGGCAAATGGGATGATCCTTTATAAGTGGTCAGAAAAGAAGGTGGGATGTTGGAAGTTAAAATATCAACATATTTTAATTTTTGTCAAATTTAATATCAAAACATTAAATCCATGTGAAAACATTATTTCATTGTCGAATAAAATATTTAACTACACACGGACATTTAAGTTTATAAACTGACTATATATATATTTTTTTTACCAAGGTTTATAAACTGACTCTATATTTCTTGCAAACTTATACTCTTTCAACTTCAACAAGTTTAATTGGTAAAGCATAAACATAATATTACTGCATTTTCTCAAGATTTTACATAATGTCTTTTTTTAATGTTTATACATGTTTACTAATCTGTAATTAGATAAGGAGAAAATGAATTAAGGAGGAATTAGAATCCGGATTCCATTGAAGTTGTTTACTAAACTAACTCGAATTGGGATAGGAATGATACTAATTCCTTATAAGTTGTTTACTAAATCCCATAAATCGGAATTGAATAAACTCATATGATTACTAAAATGCCCTTATTCTAAATAAATTATTTTGTAAGCAAATTTTTGTTGAGTTAAAGTAGATGGCATATTAGAAATTTTAACAAAAAATATGTGAGGGGTATAATGGATAAAAAAGATAAATTACTCATGGGTTAGTTCTCTAGTATTAGAATACCACCTCCCTATCCAAGAGTCAATTCCTCTAAAATCAGGAATTATTATACTTTCATTCCTTTATGTGAAATAAAAGTAGGAGTAAACCGTAATTGAAATTTAACTCCACATTTTAATTCCGCTTTGATTACGAATTAGTGAACATATCAAGTTGAACTAAATGACATATCTTTTTATCAAATAAATATATATATATATATAATCTGGCTAGGAGAAAGATACATTAATATCGTCCTGATGTGGAAAAGTAAAACAATCTGTATTGCATAAGGATGGATAATGTATATATGGTCGAGTGACATCCCTTATCTTGATGCGAAGAAGCCAATTCTGTTACATTAGAATAATAAACCTGTCTTACAAGTACATTAATTCATCTTTTTAATGTCCATAAATTTCCACAAACATTAATAATAATAAAATTACAAGTTTTGAAGGAAAACTAAGATGTTGCCAAATAAAAGAGTGAAAGTGATGGCATTAACGGTCAGTTTGGTATTGCTGTCACTATTTAAAAAAAGCAGCTTTTGTTGTGCTTTAAAAATAATCAGCTGTAAAGTAAAGATGTTCCATGTTTGATAAACAATATTTTTAAAGTGGTGTTAGTATATAAAAAGTAATGTCAAAATTGTTTGGTAAATTTTGATATAAAACTTTTGTAACTGTGAATAATGACTAAAATAAACGTAATGTTGAAAGTGTTATGTACTAATCATGTGGTGGTTATATTGGTGGTTGTAATGAAGGTGGAGGTGGAGATGGAGGAGTTGGTGGTGGTGGTGGTGGTAGGGGTGGAGATGGTGGTGGTGATGGTAATGAAGGTGGTGTTGGTAAACAATGTCATTTAAAAAAAAAAATTAATTATGGTATTATAGGAATTGAAAAAAAAATTCATTAAATGCTCATCTTGGCTTCTTTTGAAATCAACTTTGAAAAGGAACATAATGGCTACTTTTAAAAGTTGCGGTCAAAGGACCATTACTTTTAAAATATTCAGAATATTTTATTTTTACCAAACACCTTAAACTACTTAACTTTAACTTTAAAGTGAAGCAGGTTTTTGGCAACAAAAAAAAAAAAAAAAAAAAAAAGCAATCCCAAACGGGGGTCTAAGAAAATTACTATTAGCCACGTTTTTTTTAAATAGAAATAAGCACACTAAAAACATCCAAAATAAAGAAAAAAAATCATGGAAATTAATAATTTGTGAACAAGTCAAGAAGTGGACATGATTTTGGTGGATACATGATTAAATTGCATGAAAATCCATTACATCATACATGAAACTTAAAGTACCATACGTATGTGCTTAAATTAATAATTTGATCATACATTTGTTGAATTGCAAAACAATTTAAAAATAAAATGATGTACGTACAAAAAAAAGTATGTGTAGTATATAGGCAACATATTGAATTTTCTAGCTTAAATATATTATCCGAAATCTAAATCCAAGTTCTCAAGTATATTCAAGATTCAACAAACATACTGTTTAAAATCAAATTAATTTTCTTGCACCGAGGCTTTTAACAATGGTCAATCCACATTTGAACTTCAAACACTGAACAACAATGAGCTTGCGAAACGAGCAGCTTTCTGTGCAAGAAAATAAAATAATTAAAAGCAAAGAAATACCTATCAACTGGGGGTGGAGTTGATGAAATATTGGACATCCTGGTATAACTGGTGGTGAGAGATGTAGAAGCTGAGCTAAGTCCAGTGTGGTTTTAATTATCGGGGACTTGTTTAAGAATAAGAAAGAGGAATCTCATGTAAATACCATGGAATAAGGTTTGATCCTATTCATGGGGATTCTGTAAAAATTCCATTCCAAAAAGAGAAAGTTCGAAAGAAATGGGATTTTTTGGAGATTGGATGCAATTACTAATTCATGATCTGGCATGTACAGAATGAAAACTTCATTCTCGATTCTACGAGAATTTTTATGAAAGCCTTTCATTTGCTTCTCTTCGATGGAAGTTTTATTTTCCCAGAATGTATCCTAATTTTTGGCCTAATTCTTCTTCTGATGATCGATTCAACCTCTGATCAAAAAGATATACCTTGGTTATATTTCATCTCTTCAACAAGTTTAGTAATGAGCATAACGGCCCTATTGTTCCGATGAAGAGAAGAACCTACGATTAGCTTTGTCAACAAATTTTAGTTTTGGTCAAGTTTAATATTTTGAAATATAAAATCCATGTGAGTGAATGAAAAAATTTAACTACAATCGTACATTTACTCCTGCATCCTAAGTCATAAGTTCGATTTCCCTCTCCTTAAATATCGCTTTGTATAATATAAAAAAAGTAGTTCAGTCCAAAAAGAAAGGTAGATTTTAGTGAACGCGACTGCCATGTGCCCATGTCTCATATTCCTTCTTGTAAAAGGGTCATTTTGTGTCTTTCCTAACTTGTGAATAGCCAGAATAGACATTGGAGAGGGTCCTAAATTTGGCTTCTACCCAAACCCAAACAACTCGAATATAATAGGGACACAACAGTTTGTGGAAATTCCTAGAGCCACATACAAGGACCACACAGAGGATTATGAAAAGAGTTTGTGCGGGAACTAAGCATGTGGAGGCTGCTCGTAGCAATGTGGAGGCTACATACAAGGACCACATACTCGGATTTTTATTTTTATTTTTTTAAAACCCTCGAGATGGTGAGAACTGGAGTTCCATGGCCACATGTGGAGGCTGCTCGTAACAATCCTCAGTCGTGTGACTGGTATCTATGTGTTAACTACATTGGTAGTGTAGTACGGTAGTATAACAACGTGGTATAATTTGTCTAATGTGTTATATATAAGTGAATATTATTGATATTGTTCCTTAAAAAGAGGAATATCAACATTATCATCCATCCATATTATAACATGTGTAACTTTATACCGTGTGGCCATACTATAGTATCATTTTATAATTTCTCGTGTTTGTGGAAATACTTTTGGGCCCTTCCTTTTTGTCTTAAGCTTGCTAAAAACATGCATATTGTTGACGTTATTGTGGAATCATATTCCTCTCTTGCTATTACTCTCGTTCATGAGCAGTTGCTACTTATCCTTCTTTTGGTGATTCTGTTTAAGAAGTGGAAAATCTCATGGGGTGAGAAAACGAATTTGAAAAATGAGTAGTGTTTTTTTCATAGTTGAGATTTCAAAATAAAATAAAATAAGGGAAAATGAATAAATAGTATGGAATGGCATTATGTATGGCTCTGCAACTTTTCTTGGGTTTGCTATAGTGTTATTAACAGTATATAAGATGTTATTGCAGTATAAAAAGTGGTCATCCAATGTAAAAGGTGGAGTGACATTCAGTGTCATTACAGTGCAAAAATGTATAATGTCAAGGAAGTGTATTAACAGTGGGATGTTAAGGAAATGTTTTTTTTTTAATTATTATGGAGGGATGTTGTGAGAGGGGCTTATTTATGTTTTTTTTTTTTTTTTTTGATATTTTTTAAATTTATTATTATTATTTTTAATATAAAAAGAGCCGTTATTAGCACTCAACAAAATTCATTATACATTTCTCATGTATAAAAAAACATGAGAAAAATGATAGAATAATACATAATGGCTTTTTTCGGAGTACCAATAACTATGTTTAAAGATTTTTTTGCAAAGAATGTGGTGGAATCCACTAACTATTCATTTGAAGACTTGTTGTCCAGGTGGGTAAAGTGATGATAAAGGTGTTGTAGAAATGGAGTCCACGTATTGGAAGAAATAATTGCACATTCACGGGAAGCCAAGAGGCTTTGCTTATAAATGGACTTCCTCCCTTCATTGTAATGACACACCATCAGAGAAGCAAATGAGAGCTCAAACAGAGAGGAAGGAAAACAAAGAGGAGAGTGAGAGGAAAGAAATGAGAGCAGAGGGAAATATCAGTGAGACAGAGATTGTAAACACTAAAGTTGTATCCCTATTATTTTACTTAATAGAAAAGTTACTGCTGCTGCTCTTCAAGGACGTAAGCCGAACCTCATTAAATATTGTCTCATTTACTTTACATGCAACTCAATATTTCGGCATATACCGTTTATTTTACAACATATTTTATATTTTTGAGCAAGTATTTAAAGAAGGTATATGCACTTATTATTTAAAAAGTTTCTACAATTGAAACCTTTAAATTGAAAAACCAAGGACCAAATTGAAACTTAGATACTAGTTCAAGGACTAATAGTCCAATGTACTTTCATTCACTTTTATTTAATGGTAATGACGTTTATTAACAATAAGTTTCTTTAAGAAAACCAATACAAATATTGTCTACCCTCTTCTGGTCGTGTTTTAGACACA